CCTGATGGATCCTTAGTACTGCATGGACTAAAAGTTATTTTAAAAAACTTTTGAAGTTTTGTACAGTGTTGAAGGGAACTTGTCAGTGGCTAGGATTTTTTATTTCCCTAAAAATTACTATTCTGTATGTTCAGATCAGGGCATCACCATAGAAGATGCTCATGGTTTGCATATTTGTGAAGGATGCTCTGAAAGACTAGGGAGGTGTATGACACCTGACATCACTTTTAGGCTAGCAGTCCTATAGTTCTCACAACACTTAACTGGACATCAACTTGGTAAAAAAAAAAAAAAAAAAAAAACCAAAACCAAACACAACCAAAAAAAAAAACTTCTGCAGGAACAACTACAGCCTCTGCAGAAACACACACAGTGAAGGGCAAAGCAAGCCTGGACAGACTGCATAAGCACAACTTCTGTAAGGTTATTTTTAGCCTATTTTTTAACAAAAAAAACAAACCCATGTGTTGCACAAAAGGTTTTAAAGGGGCTGTTACCACTCAGGAAATACCTTGGAGCTATTCCCATTCAGTGCTCAGCAGCCAGAAAACCAAAACAGAAAGAACAGTTAAGTTACCGTTCTAAATCTACTACACTCAGTCTTGATGTCTGTACCCCCATACCAACCCCTCAGCCCTGAAACAAAAAGGACAAAAATACCAGAATATTCAATAGGATAACATGAAGGATGAATAAATTTTTCAGCTTGGAAAAGAGATATCTGAGGGAAGATAAAGGCCTACCAAATCATGAAGGATATGCAGAGTGCAAACAGAAATGACTGTTCAATATTTCTCATTAAAGTCTTGAATGGCTTACAAAAGTCATCAAGAATAATGTTTTAAAGAAAAGGAAGTGTTGTCTTCTTCCTGCAAGACTATTAAATCATAGAATTCTCTTGCCACAGAATACCTTCAAAGCCAAAAGTATAGCAGCATTTAAGAAGTGATTAGCTCTATCTTTCAAGAATTTTGTATACTAATGGCTATGCAACACAGTCCAGATGCAGCCTCTACTTTAACAAGTTCCTAAATTGCTGATTGCCATGAGAAAGAAGGATACACTCAAACCATTCATAGTCTCCGAGTATCTGCTACCTGTCATCGTTGTGGAGACAACTGAGCCACATGACTCTCTGGTCTGACCACAGCATAGACTTTCAGACGAAAAAATAGATCATCCTTTCTCCCCAGCCCACCCTGCAGAACAGTCACTATCCCGACTTTGCAGCATTCCTCTACACATGCTTTGCAGAGTTCACCATTCATCCATTATTCCATGAGCAAACGCAACACTGAGGAACAAAAACACTTTTCATTAGCTCTAGAAGCAGTGCACACACATTGAAAATGCATCTTCCTGACAGATAAAGCAATCCTAGAAGCCATAAATACTGGAGAACACTATCTAACAATTGGTTTTAATGCTTCAATACATTCAGTCCAAAAATTGATTACATACAGCAAACACCACTTTCAAATGGATTCAATTACTTAGCAACCTAACAAATTTGCAGTGAATACTAAATATATTGTAAGAGACGGTCAACGAACCAGCTGAGCACTGCTTACCACCCTCCAGGATCTCTTATACTTCTGGACTCAGGACACAAAAGCAACTGCCACCTAGAAGAGCCACAGTCCATACTCCTCCTAAAGTCAGCATATCTGCATTATCTTAAGTTTCTACACTGTCCTGTGATTGTAACATGCAATCAGTAAAACAGAATCACAAGAAATCGTATCAGTCATTTGCTGTCTTACAGTTTGCTGGAGTAGAAGTTTGTACACAGTTACAAAATGAACAGTTCACGTACACTTCTTACTTCCACTTAAGCTTCCCAGTGGCAGGGTTTGTACCTAGTAGTCTAAATGTGGCTGTACAGGTGAGCATTCGCAGTACTTTCACCATAAAGAAGCACACTCTGTGCCAAGGCTAGTGCTAGACACAGGCAGTGCGATCACTGCCTAGCTTTTGTTACTCTTTCCGCTCCGCTTCAGTGCCTTGAGCTTTCCTCCAAAAAATCATGATTCATGGACGTGCTGCATCTCCGCACTCTGTTCAATTATCACTTTGTCCCTTATCGACCTGTAAAGTGGCCAAAACAGCTGCATTCTATGCTACGTATGATAAAGAAAAGACGCAGACTGGGGTGGCACAGAAGAAGGGAAGGAGAGAAGATAAATTGGAAAATTCTATCCCATTACATCGTTTGGAAGAAGATGCCAAGAATAGGTAGCCAAAAGTGAGGCTAGATGACTAATTCAGACACAGTCTAATGCTTTTCAGACAGATATCCAAGTTTAGCAATAAATTATAGGTTATGCCAGGATTTCCAGAGACTATTCTTCAATAAACACTTTTTAAAAAGCATGCCTTGCTTGTTTAAAAAGGAACACTCTAAGAATGTGACTTTTTTTTTTTAACAGGCCAGTTTCTTTCATCATACCTACTTTAACAGTATACATTTCAGGTGTAAATAGCAGTACTGTACAATATATTCCAGAAAGCTATTCAAGTACTCCTAGTCAGAATTCATGCCCTAAGCAATCATTGTTCCATTATTCCTGTGTATAATGTGTTCCTTCAAAAGACTTTGAGATAAAAGCTGAAGACCTTAATATAAAAATTTTATACAAAACCTTTGAAAAGAAACAGGAACTTGCCAAAGACAGCAAAATATGCTTTCCCACTAGATATAAATTGCAAACAAACTTACCACAAACAAGAGTGGACTTTTTTGTCTAAACTTCTGTTCTAGCATTTACAGAATCAACTAAATCCTAAAGAAGCACCATGCTACAGTACATATTAAATCTAGTGACTGGTGACACTTGTCTTCAGTAATAACTCTTGCATTGACAGATCACGTACCTGACTGAAGTACAACAGACGTGGATACCCATAACTCAGCTAAGCATAACAGCATCATGCCTGCTTCTTTAAAATGAAATAAACCTTTAAAAACTTGCCAGACTCCAATCTGCCTGCAAGTAGCTTTGTAAAGAGAACTGCATCCAGTCCTGCAGCCCTGCTCAGTGCTTCCAAGGAACCCTACAACTGCAGCAGACAACAGAAGAGCCTTGGGGATTGACCAGTACCATGTGCTGAATATTTTATATATATGGATCATCCTCTTAGTCTAATGACTATCATTTAGAGTCACAGCTCTAATCTGTGCATGGAACACAGAATGAAGTTCTGTGTGATACAAGCCATTAATTTGATTCTGTACTTCCTTTCACCAAGCCCACAACTTCCTGATGAATTAGAGTATACCTTTAAAGGTATCACCATTTCTTTGATTATGGAAATCAGATCTAAATAATCGCAAATTACTGCCAGCATTGTACATCAAACTTGATGTACCACACACTCTGTCACCTTGATACGACCTGCCCAATCTCCTCCTAAGAGTACCAGAGTCTTTAGACAAACCACCCAAAGCTGACACCACCCATGCTGCCTAAAATCCCTAAAACCCCTAAAATCTTCTTTTGCAACCGTCTTTCATACTATCACCTATGAACACAAATGTGTGCTGCTGCATCCCCTCCTGCTTTATAACAAGGTTTTAAAAGACTGTGCAGGACAAATCTTTTCCAAAGCAAACAAACCCAGGCCACCTTTAAAGGTCACTCCTCAGCCTCTTACTATCAACCTTCTCCCATTTAACTTGTGTTTTCAGTCAGCAGTTCCCAAAGCCATGCACACTCCAGCACTGAACAGAGCAAAGTAATTACTTCCTTTAAGTCACATACACAACTCCAGTTACTGACTGGAATTAAGCTTGCTTCTCCATTCACCATTGTCACAGCAGACTGTTCTTGGGACCTACTATATCAATGGATCTCTTCCCCCAGTACTGCTGCATCACCAACTATACTCGGTCACTGCCGTAGAACAGTCCTCGTGTGTTTCACCTGGCACACAGAGATGAAATGAACAAAGTCCATCACATCCCTTGTGATTCCTCCAATTTTCTTTCCCTCAATTTCTGGTGGGTTTTTTTTATGTAATGACATAAGTATTGCAACAAAGCTAATACAAGAATTTTCCCTGTAACTTTTACAGCTTTCTCCACAGGAATTCTATGTAGAAAGTCTTTAAGCAAATAGACATTATCTGAAATTACGACACTTGTGTCTTGTTAGCTGGGTAACACATAGAACAAACCTCATGTTCATAATTTTAATTGTCGTTCCCAAAAAAATAATCAAGCTTCCTTTTCACATTTGATTAAAATCACAATGTTAAGCAGACCATTTTATTCAGGTTAGCAGATGCAAGAAGAACCAGAATTGGTAAATAAGTTCAAGGAACTGATCTGAGTGTAAAAAATAAAAATAGAAGTTTCCATTTAGAAAAAAAATATTACTAAGTACACTGAGAAAAACCATAAAAGTTAAAGACATCCTGACTGAAAAGCTCTTTATATCTTCTAGATACATTTAAAATGACTGAAGTGTTCAATTTCATTTGAAATTGCTTTGGCTCCAGGCTACAGCACACACACTGAAGATATATAACCACTGTGAACAATCGTGTCCTGTAACTTGTATTTGAAAGCACCAAAGGACTAATGAGATGTTTCCCCATACTGTATAGAATGAAAGGTTAACCAGCTTCCTAACCACAAAGATAACATCTACAGCAGCTCAAAACGCGAAGACTTTACCTAGTAAGGCTAGTCTTCTTGAGGGTGACCAAGAAAGACAAACTTCCATATTCAGGTTTTGAATATTGTAATTTAACAGATGAGGAGATGTTACCCAGCGTCCCCAGTTTAGTTTTTCAGATGAATGTTCAGCAAAGCTTGCCTTGCACACCACGAACAAGTTAGTCTTAAATGACTATCACTATATCTACCTGCTAGTTTACAAGAAGTTAGCTGTTAAGAACAGCAGTGTCTTTCATCTCAAGTCCAGCACACTGAAGACAACAACTGCACAAAACCTATACCTGGTAAAGCTTCAATATAAGAAGTGACAGACACTTACCAATACACACATCTATTTTCCCCTTGATAGCAGCTTCATGCAAAGGAGTGTAGTTCCAATTGTCTCTAGCATTTGGGTCTGCCCCTTGACATAGTAACAGACTAACCACTTCAGCATGACCAAAAGAGCAGGCATTGTGCAGGGGTATGAGCCCTCCGTCGTCACGAGCATGAACATTGGCTCCTGTCTGCAGCAAGTGCTCTACGACATCCTTCCTTCCAAAACCTGCAAGAGAACATATTTCTGTTCATTTGTCTGGTAGAACAACATGGTTTAATATTTAAACCTATTCACTCTTAGTCCACTGTACAGACATCAAACAATATTACTCATGTCCCTCTTGTGCTTTTTGGTTCATTTCACGACAAAGTGAGACTGTATTCACCTGCCCAAAAAACAGTTGGAAGATTCACTTACACTCATGACAGAGGTGAACACTTGTATTATAATCAGCCTGACTGGCTGCCACTCCATCTCATGAAGAAGTTCTACAATAGGCTTGCCACTCTTTTTCAAGAAAAGCTTTTAATGAATTTTAAAAGTGTGGTATAATCTGTATGTACCTGAAGCAAGCGTCTTACATACTGTCTCTTGATATAGGTCTTCTCTTGGAGAAGACCCCATATTAATAAACACTAAAGGACATTCTCAGCGCTCAAGTCGAACAACCTTATCTCAACCCAAACTACACTCTTGCTCAAGGAGTCTGACCACCTCCAACTGACAAATTGACTGAGAGACTAAGAAATTACAGATTAGTAGAACTGAGACCTCAGGTGGGAAATACTACCTCAGGCAAGTCCCATCCTAGGAAGGAAGCCTCTGTTACGGCCAGAGAAAACATAAAGCCAGCATCATTAAGCTAATACACTTCAAAATCCTGCATCAGAAAAGAAAAGAAGGTTATCAGGAGTAGTCAGCATGGATTCACCAAGGGGAAATCATGCCTGACCAATCTAACAGCTTTCTACGATGACATGACTGGCTGGGTAGACGGAGAGCCGTGGATGTTGTCTACCTGGACTTCAGCAAGGCTTTCGACACAGTCTCCCATGATATCCTCCTGGGGAAGCTGAGGAAGTGTGGGCTGGATGAGTGGTCAGTGAAGTGGATAGAGAACTGGCTGAATGGCAGAACTCAAGAGGGTTTCATCAGCGGC